TCCCCTACTGCTGATTTTAGCCCTGGGCTAACACCACTTTCCTAATCAAGGCACTCCCACCTATCAACCCTCAGTCTCCCTGACAGCATCCACCGATGACTGAGACTAGTGGCAGGACCAGGCTGAGAGGCGAGGGAGAAAGGAGAAGCAGCATTGAGAAAAGTTGTCAGCATTTATTAGAAAATTCTTGGTGGATTTACAAGGAATTAGTGTACCTTGTCTCTTACCAGGTGCCACACTGCTCTATCTTTAGAAGCCTCAGGGCAGGGAAGGTTCCAGGCCTGTGAGCATCCTGGCTCTCCAAGGTTGGCTCTATAAATACCCACCAAGCCAGACTCAGAAGCTCTGTTCTCCAATCTGGCAACATCTCCTCCTCGCAGCAGCCCTGGAAGCCAGCAGCCCAGAGCCCAGAGCAGGCCTGGACATGGAGCAGGGCCACCAGGCACCCACCTCCCGAGGCCAGGGAGGAAGGAGGCAAAGACAGAAGATAAGACGACTGGCCCTGAGATTGGGGGCGAGAAGGCGGGGGCGGGGCACACGGCAGGGAGGGCGGAGGATGCCAAGCGAGGGCTGATGCTCCTTCTCCCTGAAGAGTGTTCTGAGCTTCTGCTTCAGCAGGGCAGGGCACCAGACCAGGAAGAACCCCGAGAGGACAGACTCAGGTCTCTCTTGGGGAGCTCAGAGTCCGCTAAACCCATGAAACAGGAAGCAGGCCATCACTCAGAACCCTCTGCTTGAGTGAAGAATAGAAACCGAATACTTGAAAGCCTCAGGGAAATGAAGCCTAAGGAGAGAAGGGACTCAACTTAATACTTTGTAAAGGCCGATATGGGAAAAGAATCTAAATAAGAATGGAGGGACATTCTTGGTGGTCCAGTGGCCAAGACTCCAAACGCTCCCCATGCCGGGCTCCCAGGGTCAGTCCCTGGTTCGGGAACTAGATCCAGTACTCTGTAGCTAAGATCCAGTGCAGCCAGATAAATAAAAGTACATTAAAAAAGAAAAAAGAGTGGATATATGTATACATGATTCACTTTGCTATACATCTGAAACTAGCACAAGATTGTAAATCAAGTGTATATATGTACATATATATATATATATATGATATGTTAGTCACTCAGTCATATCTGACTCTGCAACCCCATGGACTGTAGCCCACCAGTCTCCTTTATCCGTGGGATTTCCCAGGCAACAAGAATACTGGAGTGGGTAGCCATCTCTTTCTCCATTGAATCTGGGAACCAGATCTCTTGCATTAGGCAAATTCTTTACCATGAAGCCCCATCAACTATACTTCAATAAAAATTTTAAACTAAAAAAAAAATTTTTTTTTTAAAAAGAGAAGTAGGGAGGAATCCACAGAAAAGCAAAGAAACCAATGTAGTTCCTTAGCTGTCTCCTCCTATAGATGCCTCCCCCAGGACCTTTGCATATGTGTGTATAGATCGAACGTCCAGCATTTGCGTGAAGTGGATTTTGAAAATATTTATTATTGAAGTATAGTTGATTTACAATATTAATTTCAGGGGTACTGCAAAATGATTCGGTATTTTTGCAGATCCTTTTCCATTATAAGTCCTTAGAAGGTACTGCATATAGTTTTCTGTGTTATGCAGTAAATCCTTGTTTCTCTTTACGTACAGTAGTTTGTATCTGTTACTTCCATTCTCCTAATTTATCCCTCCTCTTCTTCCCCTTTAGTAATCATAAGTTTGTTTTCTAGGTCTGTGAGTTTCTGTTTTGCATATACATCCATTTGTATTGTTTTTTAGATTCCACATATAAGTAATATCATACAGTATTTGTCTTTGTCTGGCTTATTTCACTAAGCATAATATTCTCTTAGTCCATCCATATTGCTGCAAATGGCAGGATTTCCTTCTTCTTTAAGACTGAGTAATATTCTATTGTGTATGTATATATCATATCTTCTTAATTTAATCGCTTCAGTCTTGTTTTAAATGCACCAGTGGGTCCATATTTAAGGTCACCCACAAGAACTTGTCTGCGATGGATGGAGCTAATTGTGCCCCCTGTACACACATGCACACAAACACACTCGTGGAGGCATCACACTTTGCCTGCTTCATCAGCCTGAAAAATTCTCGGTGAGTTTCTAAGTTGGCCTTCCCAGGCTTGGACGTCTTTGAGGAAGGGAGCCCCTCTCCTCAGCACGTCCCATGTGACTTCTGCCCGCTGTGTGCTGCCCCAGAGGTGTATCTTCATACCTCTCTAACTGCTGTCAGGCAGGGCCTGGAGGGGGCAGCAGCTCGGGATGGAGAGGAGGTGAGGGGGAAAGGAGAGGGGAGGGGAGAGGGAGGTCTGAGAGAAGGAGACAAGAACTGGGACCCAAGAGAGATGGAAGGGGAAGGAGGGAGGTAAGTGGTCCTCACCTCTCTTCCTTTCCATCTGCTTCCTCAGTCCCCTCTCCTCTCTTCCTGCTCTTTACCCCAGAGCCCCACCTCTCTCTCTCTCTCTCTCTCTCACACACACACACACACACACACTCTCTACTCTCTATCCCCACATCCCAGAATCCAAGCTCCCCAACACAGATGTAAAAACAAAATTGGGTCATTTGTAGAGATATGGATGGAGCTAGAGAGTGTCATATAGTGTTAAGTCAAAAAGAGAAAGACAAATATCATATATTAACACATGTGTGGGGAAATCTAGAAAAATGGTACAGATGACCCATGTTGCAGAGCAGGAATAGAGACTCAATGCAGAGAACAGATGTATGGACACGGAGTGGGGTGGGATGAATTGGGAGACTGGGATTGATGTATGTGCACTTGCTGTTGTTTAGTCGCTAAAGTCATGTCTGACTCTTTGCAACCCCATGGACCATAGCCCATCAGGCTCCTCTGTCCATGGGATTTCCCAGGCAAGGATGGTGGGGTGGGTTGCCACTCCCTTCGACAGGGGATCTTTCCGACCCAGGGATCGATTCCATGTCTCCTGCATTTCAGGCAGATTCTTTACCCCTGAGCCACCAGGGACGCCCTTCATGTATCCACTACCACGTGTAAAACAGATAGCAAGTGGGAAGCCACTGCACACCACATGGAGCTCAGCTTGGTGCTCTGTGATGACCTAGAGGGGAGGGGTGGGGGAAGGGAGACCTAAGAGGGAGGGGATATATGTATAAATATAGTTGATCTGCTTTGTTGTACAGCAGAAACTAACACAATATTGTAAAAGCAACTATACCTCTATTTAAAAAAAAAAAAGTAGAACCAAAAATATAAAAGCACATGGACCAGGCTCTCCAGTGGCCACAGGTGGGGTCTTATATCTCCAGTGAACTAACTCCTAGGACTGGAGTCACAGGTGGATGGAGAACTATGTGGCCTCAGCCTAAGCCTGCCTTGACCTCAGTGTTGGCCTTGGTAGTGGGGCTCACAAGACAGCTCCACACCACTGTGAGCCTCGGGATTATGCTCTGATGGTACAGAGCAACCGTTCAATAAAGGATGCTAAGCAATTGCACAGAATAACCTTGGAGACACCCTGGGTTTCATTTGCGCCTGGAAACTGGCATGGGGACATAGCTTCCATCACAGACTCATCTTTCCCGGAAAGGCCTTTCAAGTGCCCAGTGCCAGATGAGCATGAGGGTTATGAAGGTGATTCCTGTAGGGGCCGGGTCGCCCACACACCCACAGCTGGTGACCTTCCTTTTCTAACTGGGTTTATTTTGTGACTGGCACCAGCAGACTGAGCCACTCTTTGGCTAGATAGATGGTTTGTTTTGAAATCCCTGTGTCACGCTGAAGCAGTGGCAGGCTTGTTCCCGAGCCACTGCAAGTAGAATTCAATTGTCAGCAAGACTGCAGGGTTAAAAGTCAGGAAAGCAATTTTTTAAAAAACCGACCTTAACTCATTCTGTAATATTTCCTATTTACATTGAAGAAATGTCAATTCTTGGCTTTAGGCCTCACAAGAGACCAAGGATTTAAAAATACCTATGAGACAGATATAAATCTTTGATAAGACAATAACCGCAGAGAGAGATATGCCTGGAAATGTTAAGTGGGTTGGATTCGGTCACTGCTCTTTCCAGTTTCTTCGACTTGACTTACACATATCCGGGTGCTCCACTTACTCCCGTTTGCTGTATCTCATGCAAAGTGTGCATGTGTAACTCGGGCACTTGGTACCTGGACCTGTTGCTCACGGGGGGTGGGGGGTGGGGAAGAGCAATTAGAAATGTTTTAATTATCCTTTTATTTGGACTGTGGTCCCCAAAGCTTAAACGTACAGCTTGCTTCTATCCTGGTCTGATGGGGGAGCTGGCTGTCTAAGCTCCCCTGCCAGGAAGGCCAGGTGCAAATCAGAGCAGGTCACTCGCAAGCATCTGGGCGGAGCCTCGGAATCAGGGCAAGAGCCTGGAGCAGGAGCTGGACATCAGGAAGGGTTCTGAAGCCTTAACAGGACTCTTTCTTTCTTTTTTTTTTAATATGTCTTTTAAATTGTGTAAAAGTCACCTAATATAAAACACACTATTTTAACCATATTTAACTGTACAGTTCAGTGGCCCTGAGTACATTCACAGGGTCGTGCAACTCACCATCATCCATCTCTCGAATTTCTCACCTTCCTAAACTGAAACTCTGTCCCCATTAAACACGAACTCCCCATCTCCCCTTCTTACTCCATCCCAACCCCCTGGCCCCTGGCATCGACCAATGTACTTTCTGACTCTAGGAATTTGACTATTCTAGATATCTCACAGAAGTGTAATCAAACAATATTTGCTGGCCTCTTTGTTTCTTGAACCACACATCAAGTTTCAAGAAATAGCGTGCCCAATATCCCAGAACTGTGATGGGCCAGGCGGGGCGGGAGCCCAGGCTGCCCTGCTCCTAAGGTTCCTGCTTCCACTTTACTTGGCTACCCAGAGGTCTGCTCCAGGCTAACCGCCTCCACAGATGCATGTACCCCTGCGCCTTCCCGGCTCCCTGCCCAGCCTGGCCGCCTCTCCCAGACTCAGGTCAGCTGGCAGTCTTGCATAGGTTGTGCCGCTTCACGCCTCGGTTGGATTCCCTTTCATCCTCCACCCAGAAGCTGCTGGGCTTGTCCATCTGGCCTTCCTGGCTCCTGCAGCAGCAGCACGCTCGCCCCTGAGGTGTCTGGCAGTCCCTGCATCGTCTGTCACCAGGGGCCCCTCCCGCGGCTGCCCCTGACCTCTCGGCCCAGCAGCCGGCGTTGACAGACACTTGGGAGGTCATCCTGTCTATGCCCCGATCTCCCATTGGCAAGGCGCACACACGATTCTAGTCCCTGGCAGGCACCTGGCTGAGGTGATCCTGAAGGAAGACTGCGATTCATCTCGTTGATGCCACCTGGAAGCTCCCGTCTTCCTCAGCAAGCAGAGACTCCCACACTCACTGTCCAACCCAAGGCTTTCCTGCAAAGGAGGAACCTGGCCATTTTAGAATTCAGCCTGTGAGTCCCCCTTCACAGCGACCTAAGCGGAGGTTCCTCAGGGACATCAGAGCCAATGGGTGTTTTCTCATCCAGGAGAACTGCCTGCAGGCCATGTGGCCCACCTTGCAGAGACCCTACCCGCCCACAGCAGGCGTGAGGCACCTGCTCTCTGACCAAACAATGTACAGGTCCCCTCCCTCCTTCTGCCCTAACTCCCAGGAACAAGATGCTACAAGAACCCTGGGCTCAGCCAGACAAAGGGGAGTTTCCTTTGGTCTCTCTGACTCTGCTACTAAGAGAAAAGAATGGGCGGGAGACGTTACTTCTGTGGTTGCTATTTTCTAGCTTACTGAAAGATCTGCTCTTTTGTGCTGCTGTAGGAAAACCAGCGCTGTGTCTGGTGTGTCCCGGATTTGCAGCTGAAGTCACGCACATGTTTCTCACAACTGCGCACACATTCCTTCTCAGCGGGTTGTGGGTGCACAGTCCTGCTAAATCTCTTGGGGGAGCTCTTGGAGTCTTACCCAGGAGAGAGAATACAGGATGGGGGCCCCTCTGGGAAGGCCGGAGGGACCCCAATAATCGATAGCACAGCCCTCATCCATCTCAGATCCTCATCGGTCTGTGGCCTATTAAACGCTCCCGGTCTGTCGATAACCCAGTATTATTGCTCTCTCGCTGAGCCCGCCAAGGCCAGCTTCCATTTGGCCAGAGAAAAATAATGATTGTTTGTTTATTAGTTGGGAAAAAATGTCCAGCCACAAACGTGCCTTTGGGCCAAAGCCAGAGTCCATCAAGCCCTCCCTGGGCCCAGTGTCTACCCTCTAGGTCTCCTGTGCGGGCAGATCTATGGGCTGGGGTCGTCTGTCATGTGTGGGTGGCCCAGGGACCACAGGGATCCCCACGGCAGTCTCCACACAGCCAAGAACACTCTGAGGACCTTGGCTCATTCTCGGCTGCTGCATGGGAAGTGGAGGCCTGGCCAGGGAAGACTCTGATTAAGCCACACAGGCTAATGTGACTCAGGAGTCCAGGCTGCTCCAGCCATGAATTTGAGCCCCGCTAGGTGAGCTCCAGGGTTTTTCAGCTGGAGGCTGCTGGCTGAAAGCTCAGACAACCGTTCTGAGCTGGGGCTACCAGGCCCTAGGGGCTCTGGGCAGCAGGAACCATTTCCTCCCATTCTGTCTCTCATCTCACCCTCCTTTGACCACCTTTCTTCAGCAGGATCTTCGGATCATGGTGACCTGGTTTCAAACCCCGGCTCTGCCACTCATGAACTCTGAGATCCTGGTGAATTACTTAACTTCCTTGAGCCTCAAATGACCCCTATAATTATTGGGAATCTTCTGACTGTGTGAGATGAAATATAGTAAGTGGGTGATCCAAGGCCTATGGGTTTCAGGCCCTTAACACCAGCTCACTGAGTTGCTCCTTTCTCCTCCTGGAGAGACTGCACCTTAGATGCACTTGGAGGCTGGAGCTGGTTGCCTATCCCTAATCTGTCTCCCAAGAATTTCCCTTTCCCAGTGGACTGGGGGATCCCAATCCCCACCTCCCACCTTCCTTGTCCTTCAAATCAAATGACTTGCCCTTTTCTTTGGAAAGAATCTGCCTAAAATGAGGGAGACGTGGGTTCAATCCCTGGATTGCGAGGATGCCCTGGAGAAGGAAATGGCAACCCACTCCAGTATTCTTGCCTGGAGAATTCGATGGACAGAGAAGCCCGGCAGGCTATAGTCCATGGGGTCGCAAAGAGTCGGACATGACTGAGTGACTAACACTTACTGATTTCCTTTCTTTGGAAAAGTTTCACTGTTAATCACTAAAGGGAAACCAGAAAGATGCAACCAGAACGAGACTGATCAGACTCCAGCCTGAGTCCCAGCTCCGATAACCACTCAAACAGTGTGACCTGAGCTGGGGCTCAGTATACAAGCCATCTAGACCCCTAGGTCCTCAGTCTTCTCACCTGTCAAACAAGAGAACAGTCCTAAACAAGCTAAGGTCTCCGCTACCTTAAAAATACTGTTTCCTCTTAGAAACAAGAGAAATACCTTGCAACACCCTCCTAAGTGCTCTCTCTCATCTGTTTCCTGTATTTGCTGACCTCAAGTCCTCTTAGCACGTTGCTCCATTGATCCTGGGATGCTGGTGTCCCGCCCCACAGTCTTTGGACACCCTGTTCTGGAAGGTCAGTAGGAGTTCAAGTGACTCAGTGAGCCATTTACATCCCAGAGGAAGTCCTAGGCACTTCCCTTCCCTCCATGGCTCCCAAGTTCTCTCAAGCAATGTCAGAGTCAGTCAGTCCCTAGGTCACTGGCCTCCCTTTCCTCCTCCTCGTTTCCTCAGGTAATTATTGTACTTAAGCTAAGTCCAGCAACGGCAACAAATCTCAGTGGCTCAAGCAGCCAGGAATCATTTCTCGTGCACGCTCGTGTTCCTGGGGGGTCTGCAGAGCTCAGCTCCACACCCTGTCCCTGCCAGGGCCAGGGCTGATGCAGAGCAGCCCCACCGGGCTGAGGAAGCAGCACTGATGGTGTGTGCAATGGCTCTCCAGGATTCTGCTTTGACCTGGTCACCATGACTTCCATTAATATTTCATGGGCTTACAGATGGCCAACAAACACATGAAAAGATGCTCAACATTGCTCATTATTAGAGAACTGCAAATCAAAACTACAACGAGATATCAGCTCACACTGGTCAGAATGGCCATCATCAAAAAGTCTACAAACAATAAATGTTGCAGAGGGTGTGGAGGAAAGGGAACCCTCTTGCACTGCTGGTAGGAATATAAATTGATAACAGCCACTGTGGAAGAGAGTATGGAGATTCCTTTAAAAATCAGGAATAAAACCACTATATGACCCGGCAATCCTAGGCAAATACCCTGAGGAAACCAAAATTGAAAAAGACACATGTACCCCAATGTTCATTGTAGCTCTATTTACAATAACTAGAATGTGGAAGCAACGTAGATGTCCATTGACAGATGACTGGATAAAGAAGCAGTGGTACATATACACAATGGAAAATACTCAGCCATGAAAAGGAATGCATTTGAGTCAGTTCCAATGAGGTGGATGAACCTAGAGCCTACTATAGAGTGAAGTAAGTCAGAAAGAGAAATATCATACACTAATGCATATATTTGGAAATCTAGAAAGATGGTACCAATGAACTTATTTGCAGGGCAACAATGGAGAAACAGACATAGAGAACAGACTTACAGACACAGGAGAGAGGGGAGGAGAGGGTGAGATATATGGAGAGAGTAACATGGAAACTTACATTACTGTATGTAAAATAGATAGTCAATGGGAATTTTCCGTATGACTGAGAGAACTCAAATAGTGGCTTTGTAACAACCTAAAGGGGTGGGCTGGGGAAGGAGACAGGAGGGAGGGGACAAGGGTTTACCCATGGCTGATTCATGTTGGTGTTTAACAGAAAACAACCAAATTCTGTAAAGCAATTATCCTTCAATTAAAAGATATAATATATATATTTAATATTAATTAAATTTATATATATATATATATATTTCATGGGTTAAAGCAAGTCACAAGTTCACACCTGCCTGAGCAGGGGAGGAGTCATAATCTTTCTACAGGGTCAGGCAGTGAGTATCATGACAAGAGCACAATCCTCATTGTAAAGCCTTACAGGGATCCTCTAGCCCATTCCCCTCATTTTACAGGTGTGGGGAGGAAAGCTCAGAGACATGAGGTGAGGTACCTGAGGACACACAGCAGTCCGTGGGTGAGGAGGAGTTAGAATCCAAGTGTGTTGATGACCTTTCAGTTCGGATGTGAATCGAATCCCACCTCCATATTTCTGGACAAGGTATTTCAGCTCTGAGCCTGGGCTTGCCTCTGTGGACTATGGGGAAAGGCTGTCAGTCTCCCTACAGGGAGGTTGGGAGCTTTTGTGAGGTTTAATAAAGCGTCACGTTCAGTGTTTGACACAAAGGAGTCTCTAAACACACGTTTGCTCTGGTCCCGTTGTTTCCTGTCATCCGCCCCAAAACTCCTTCATCTCATTCCCCTCGGCTCTTTCTTTTTTTTAATATTTATTTATTTACTTGGCTGCGTTGGGTATTAGCTGAGGCACACCTGATCTCGTTGCACCATATGGGATCTTGCATTGCAGCGCACAGACTCTATAGTTGGGTGGGAGGGCTTAGTTGCCCTGCAGCATGTGGGACCTTTGTTCCCTGAACAGGGATTGAACCTGCATTCCAAGAAGTCTTTCATTCCCCTCCACTCTTTCCTTACCTGCCTCCAAGCCTACCTTTTTTTTGTTAAGAAGTTGAGCCAGAAAAGCCTCTGACTGCAAAGCCTCCTGGTGTTGCCTCCAAGTTGAGGAAGCAAAAGATCCTCACAGCAAAGTCCTTCTCAAGGATCTGACGACTCACAGCCCCTTTTCACCCACTATTTCTCAGGGCCTCATCTTAGCCCTGGGCATCATTCCCATTACACAGATGAGAAGACTGAGGCCCAAGGTGGTTAGGGATGAGCTCGCCTGCCCTGCAGGAACCAGGACTTTCAGTCACTGCTCTACATGTCTGCACTCTTCTACAGCACCTGACAGTGGACCCGCCCCCACAATTGCCTCCCTCTCCTCCTCCCCCTCACCCCTAGTAATGAGAAGAATGCCTCTGAGCTTCCACAAGAGCCATGGTGGCTTTGGGCACGAGAGAATGTGGCTGGTGTTTAAAAAAAAAGAAGCCTTCAAGAACAATTGTCACCTGTTCTGTTTGGCTTCGCCTTATAAAAATTCTGTTTTCAACAGTCATGAAATGAAGGTCCAGGGAAGTCTGTTCAAGCAAAGCCATTTCCTAAGAGCTCTGACAGTTAACATTTCAGGGATGTGTGTATGTATGTGTGTGTGTATATATATATATATTTCCAACATCCCTCCCAAAGATAGCTCTGGAGCCTGTTTGGAATATGTTTTTATGATTAGATGAGTGGCGTGTGTGTGTGTGTGTGTGTGTGTGCGTGTGTGCGTGTGTGTGTGTGTGTGTGTGTGTGTGTGTGTGTGTAGGTTGCTTGCTGCTGTGTTTGTGTTTCTCTCCTCTCTCTGAAGGGCTGTTTCCTTTGTTCTGGGAATCTGGCTCTTCTCAGAATGTCTAACAACGGCACAGATGGTCCCAATTTATTGCCACCTAACCTGTCTGGGGAGACATCACACCCTGTCCCGCCTGCCCACACCTGTCTCCCTGAGCATCCCAGGAGGCCCCTTTTGCAGCCGGCCTCAGCGTCCTCCCCCAGGCCACCCTCTCAAGAGCCCTCCCACTCAGACCTAGCGGCTCAAGCTGCCCCTACCCTGGGGGGGATGCCCTTACCCTGGGGGGATGCCCCTGCCCTGGGGCACAGACATCTCTGCTCTGGGCTCCAACTGAACTAGGAAAACCCCCTGGTCTCCCAAATCTCCAGCCTCCACCAAGGGTGCAGAGCTGCCCAGCTTGGAGAGAGACCTGCCTTGCAGGGTTTGCCCAAAGCAACAGGGCTCTTACAGAGAGCAAGACAGAGATGTTGTTTCACTGATTTCCAACGGACTGTGCTGGAAGGGGAGGATGAGATGGAAGGCTCAGGGTTTCAGAAGCAGCAGGTTGGGTCTTCCCTGTAGCAGGCGCCTCCCTCCCAGCACTGCAGGGACACTTATCGCCCCCTCACACACACGCACACACCACCCCCTCATACACTCACACACACCACACCACCCCCCTCCCTGGCCCAGCTGGGGTGGGGGAGGGGCTCAGTCACTCATTCATCCAGCATTTTCTGAGAGCATACCACATCCGGACACTCTTCTGAAAATCAGGGATAAGGCAGGGGGGAAGAAAGGAAATTCTTAACCAATGTGGGGTGGGGGACGAGTTGGATGGATGGGAAAGAATGAAGTTATATAGGGTACGGGAAGTGTCCAGTGTTCTGAGGAAAAGTAAAGCAGACGGAGAGGATAGGGAGTCCTGGAACTGGAGTTTGTGTGAAAGTCTAAGTATGACTTGAAGGAGGTGAAAACTCAAGTGGTGCGGGAGTCTGGGGACAGAGCAATGTAGAAAGAGTGACTGGCAAGCGTGAAGCTGGATGTCTCAGGGATAGTGGTGAGGAGAGGGTGTCTGAGGGGAGACAGGGCACGGGGTAGGAGGTGAGGTGGGGAGGTGCTGGGAGACTGGACTGTAGCCGAGTGCCTGGCCATTACCTGAGTGCAATGGGGGCCGTGGGGTCATTCGAGGAGGTTCAGGATCTGACGTGTTTTGAACACTCACCTGCTGTGTGGACTCTGGATGCAAGAAGACGAGGATAGGAGCTGAGAGGTGAACGGGAAACCACAGCAGGATCCTAGGGAGGACTGCCCTGGTTGCTCGGGCCGCGGCGGCGGCAGTGGTTCTTCTCAGTGCATTTTGCAGGTCGGGACCGGTAGGATTTGTTAGTGGGTCAGCAAGGAGGTAAGAATTCCAGGGACTTGGCTTCAGCAACTAGAAAGTGGAACAGGTTTGGAGGCGACCCTTGGGGTTTAATTTGGGTACATTATGTTAAGTTTCATATGCCTGGGACTTCCCTGGTGGTGCAGTGGCTAAGAGTCCATACTCCCAATGCAGGGGACCCAGGTTCAAACCCTGGCCAGGGAACTAGATCTCACATGCTGCAACTATGAGTTTGCATGCTGCAACTAAGATCTGGCATAGCCAAATAAATAAATAAAAATAAATGTGTGTTTAAAAGATGCCTGTTAGATATAGAGGCCAGAGAGACACATTTGGGAGTGGACAGTCTCTGTTCCCATTCACCGCGTCCTCTGGTCTTCACCAAAGCCTGTAGAGTTGGGGGGATACAAAGTACAATCCAACAAGTTTCCTGAGCTCACACAGCCGGTCAGAAGGGCTAGAAAAGAGCTCATCTTCTTGGACATCTTGACTCTTGACCCTGGGCATGTTACTCCCCAAACCCTCAGTGTTCCTCACCCATGACTGATTAGTCATCACACATCAAGCAATAACATCCGCCGTCATTGTCCTCTCAGGATCCAAGAGGCAAGGGGCTGTAAAGAGATGCCTCTCCTCTTCTCTCCAGACTCCACCTCCTGGTTTTCTCCAGAGCCTGCCTTCCAGTTAAGATGCTCCCTAATCACCCAGGGCCCCCAGGCTGTGTGTTTATTTTGATGACTTTCTTACAGAGACTCATTTAAGATGCTTCAACGTCACCCTGACTCTAAGAAACAAGCGGTTGGATTTTTCTCATCTCTTTAACCCATTAACTTCTGGAACAGTGCTTTAGATTTTGTAGATGGCAACCAGATGGACTGGAGAGCCAGAAATTTTTTTTTTTGAACCCGTTTTCCCTGCTTCCTCCCACCCTCCCACTCATTTTTTTTTCCTCCCACTCATTTTTCTCTCCCTTTAGGTCAAGGCCAGGCTCCATGCAGTCCTTTAATTCCTGTGACCTTGCTCAGGGGGCGGAGAGATAAAGTCTATAAGAGCACACCTTCCCCTCATCCAGTCAACCTCCCAGGGGCCACACGGTCTGAGCAGCAGTGTCCAACAAAAATATCCTGTGATTCACTTACGCACTTTCTAGTAAAAAGATAAATGAAAAGAAGTGAAAGCAATTTTAACAATATATTTTATTTAGCTCTATATAACCCAGGTGGTGCTAATGGTAAAGAACATGCCTGACCATGCAGGAGATGTAAGAGACATGGGTTCAATCCCTGGATAGGGAAGATCCCTTGGAGGAGGAAATGGCAACTCACTCCAGTGTTCTTGCCTGGAGAATCCCGTGGATAGAGGAGCCTGGAGAGCTACAGTCTATAGGGTCGAAAAGAGTCAGACATGACTACAGTGACTTAGCACAGCACCACAACTTAAATATCATTCATTGCAACATATGATATAAAAGTAATAATGAAATAAGGTACTTTGCTTCGTGCCAAATCTTTGAACTCTGGCGTGTATTTTACACTTAAAACACATAACCAATTGTAAAAAGTCACATTCCAAGGACTGGGTAACCACATGTTAGCTAGAGGCTACATGTAACCACAGGCTACTATGCTGGATCCTGAAGGTGTTAGGGTCGGATATCTTTCCTAGTTCATCAGGTGTTTCCAGATCTTAGTTGGTCCTGATTCCTTGGGCATCTCACTTGGCCTTCCCTCTCCTGGGTCAGGAGGGAGGCTCCTCCAGGGCCCTCCTTCTCCTTTCAAGTCCTCTCCCTCTTTTTAACCCCTTCTTTTCCTCTTCAAAGTCCCATCTGCCCCTGTCCAGCCCCTGGCACATTGTTACAGTTCCTGTCTGCCGGCCTGGTTAGGTGGCTGCATTTGGGGAAGGAAAAACAGGGCATTTCCATTCCTGAGGGCCATGGAGGGCAGAAGGGGAAGAAGGTGACACGCTGGTCTGAGTGCTGTGAGGGTATCTGAAAAGGCCGCAGGTGACCTTCTTAGCCATGCAACTGGCACACCTGATGAGGCTACAAAGAATGAGAAGGCCCTTCCTGCTGCGAATACTGTGACAGTGGCCCCTCCAGGCCTTGTCTGTAGGAGGATCTGGGTTTCAAAAGGGATACGTGTGTAAAAAACCATCTCTGGCCACCTGTCTCTCGTTTCACTCTCCCCGGAACATTGTGACCCAACTTCAGATTGCTCCTCTCATCCCTGGTCAAGCTTATCTCAAGCAAATGCATTGATCTTGGAGTCTGATGAAGCCTGAGATATTCCCCACTGTCACCCTTTACTACACGTACCAGATCTGAAACCTGGAAACTTCTGGGGAGCATTCAGACATCACCTCTCACCCAGTCTCTGCTCCCATCCATTGCTCCTTCCAAATATCTCTCCCCCGCCAACACCCAGACACCCACAGGCCTGGAAACACATCCTGCACCGTTGTTCTTGCTAGGCCTTCCCTGTCTTCCCCAGAGGACCCCCGCTACGCTCCTTCTGCCCCCTCACCACTGAAGTCTTTGTGTAAAATGGAAATAATAACAGAATCCCCTTCATAAGTGTTGCCATGAAGGTGAAAGGGGTTGTGCTTGTAAGGCTCTTAGAATGCACAGCGTGCTAGTGGGTTTGTTTCAGGATCCCCATAACAAGAGCATGAGATAGGCATTTTCAGACCGTCACAGAAATGAAGAAACCGAGGCGGAGGAAGTGAAGTACGTCCCCAGGCTTCTAGACAGGAGTGGCAGAACCCAGACCCCAGTCTGGGACTCTTTTCCCCACTTTCAGAGTCCGTCACATCACGTTTCACAGTCTCAGTGAGAAGAAAATGAATGGAGCCTGCCCAGAGGAAATGTAACGCAGTCAAGGAGACTGTAAGTGCATGGAAAATTCCTGAGACTGTTTCATAACAGAGGAATCCGGAGGGGAGGAGACTGAGGGGCGCGAGGGGCTGTCTAGCTCTCTCAGAAGCTGCTGTCAGGAGTGTCCTGAATCTGTGCCCCCATCGCCCTCTCAGTGAGGATCCCAGCTCACCCCCTCCCACCCCCACCCCTCAGTGTGGGCCTCCAGTGTCTCCTCCTGGTTTGATTGACTGCTGGGAAATAAACAACCAGAAAGCCCAACTAGATGAGCAAGGCAGCATATGCTGCTCATGGGAACTTAAACAATTGCGCTTCTAAATAACAGCTCAACACAGGATAGAAGAGATGTTGCAAGGCAGAATATGATTAATTGCCAAATGAATTATTGAAATTATAATTGCAGAGGAGTTCAGAGGAGCATGTGATTGCTGTGGGTGGGTTGGGTCAGGAGAGGATGAGGCAGAGGGCTGTGTGAGCTGGGGTGCAGGAGGGTCAGTGATGGGTGGGGCACAGCCCAAGCAGAGGGCACTCACTGTCCCCTCTCTGCCCTGCGTCAGCAATGAGAGGGGCACACACACAGGGCAGAGAGGGGACAGTCTGACTCTGGTGCCCGGAGTGCCCAGGGGCTGAACTGCTGACAGGCCTTCCCACCATGGGCGTCCTCTCCCCAGTGACCCCATGCTCACCTTGACCTTCCACCTGCTCTCTGGGCCTGTGGGGTCTGAGTGCTGGTCTTCAACTCCTCTCTGCTCTATCAGCCTCCTGTGTCCGTATCTCAACAGTTCCGTATGTACAGTGGGTTGAGAGGCATGTCTTTCACAGATCCTAAGAGGAAAAACACATGTCTTTAAGCCTGGAAGGGAGAAGTACCAAGTCAGCAAAGTGTGCTGCAGCTCTGTTCTACTGAGGTTCATTTTCACAAGTGCTCAAATATCCAGTGAGTTAGATCACGTTCTGGAACATGCTCCATAGAACAGTGGCAGAGGCATAAACTCAGAAGTGATAGGACCTGCGTTTCAAGCCCCGCTCTGTCTTGTAATGGCTCTGTCATCTTGGATAACTTGCTGAACCTTTCTGAGCCCCACTTTTCTCATCTGTAAAGTAGAGCTATGTGCGGCTGTCTCATGGTTGTCTTGAGAATTGCCTGCAATAATGTAAACCAGGTGCCCAGCCCCTGGCTGACTCATGGTTGTCTTGCTCCATGAGCAATGGTGGTTATTGGCAAAGGTAACATCTCAAACAGCGGTTCTTGGGGTCCCCCATGGACAGTGTCATAAAGGCTGTGACACCCTATTGCTGCCCCAAGAGGCAGCGATGAAGTATGGTTAAGAGCACAGATGCTAGAAGACAGAAGGGATGAGATATAAGGGTCAGTCACATGGAGATGTGGAACAGGGAACAGGAGAGGAGCGGTGGCCTGCAGGTGCCCGCAGCAGGCTGGCTAAGGTGGGGATTTGAACTCAGGCTAAAAAATGTTGTGCTGTGTGGTCATTGTAATGATAATTAGGAAGACTGCATAGATGTAAGAAAATGGTACTTTATGAAAATGGCAGAATCATAAAGCAGTACACACACAGTGGTTGCAATTAAGTAAAATGTTAAGGTAGAAAAAAGCAATTGTGGAACTAGCGAGTGTGAGAGTGAGGCTAGGACTATTCTGAGTTGATACAGTAGATGCTGTGTTTGCCTCCTTTAAGCTGTTTTTCAACGCTTTTTTTTTTTAAGGCTTCACTAAGGGTTGATAAGTGCTATCGTTGGGGCAATTTTAAGTCAGGATGGTCATTTCCCAGACTTCCATGGTGCTGTTGACATCTTAGGTAACTGATACAGCAGTTGTGATCAATAGGACATTTCATCTAGGAAAAAAAATTGTATTAGCTTTTCAACATAAAGGTGCCTCATCAGAAGGGTGATGTCTGTACAGGGATCTCTGCTGCTTCTCTTGACCAGACCGTTTGAAGGGTAAGGCTCCCTTTTGGTGGCAGATGTATTTTACAGGGATGGAAACAAATGTGTCCAGTGAACAGACTCCCCTGCCAGCTGAAGAGTTGGCAGGGGAAGAGGTACTGGAAGGCGGTGCAGCCTGGCCCCCAAGAGTTGGGGTTGGGGCGGGGAAAGATGTGTGGGGCCAAGGTGTCAAAAGGAGGCCAAGAAGGAACTTTCCAGCATTCAGAACCTCCCATGAAGCAATGGATGGATGATCTGCAATCAGAGGGCTGGGACTGGGGAGGACTGGAAGGAGCTAACAGGAGGTAGGCCTGGATCTCTGGCTTATCAGAATCAATTAAGGAGCGAGGTTGGAAAACATAGATTCCTGGAGCTCTGCCCCAGGGCCAGTGAGAGAGACTCTCCCTCCAGCCTTGCATCAGAATCTGCACGTTGTAAAAAATCCCCTTGGGATTCTCAGGCAGGGAGCGGGGCCGGCCCTGGGAACCGCAGGCTGACGTCGCCCCTAGTGGCCCTGGAGACACGGTGCTCAGAGCCCTTCTGGGAAGAAGCAGCTCTAGGCCCTGGACTCGGCTGGGTATGTGTGGGGGAGCTCAGTTCTGTCTGACTCTACGCAAGCCCATGGACTATAGCCCCCCAGGATCCTCTATCCGTGGGATTTTCCAGGCAGGAAGACTGCAGAGGGTTGTCCTTTCCTCCTCCAGGGGATCTTCCTGACCCAGGGATCGAACCCATGTCTTCTGTGTCTCCTGCACTGGCTGGTGGATTCTTTACCACTAGCGCCACCTGGGTGCTTGCCTGTTAGCAGCTGCTCCGCTCCCCCTACACCAGCACCACCCCCTCTGCCCCTTCTCCCACCCAGGATGCTCTGATGGAGAGCCCCTCCCAGAAACCCTCTCTGGGAGGGTGGAAGAAGCAGTCCTGAGGCTCCAGAATTCTCCCTCCTTAGCATCCGCCGCACCAGATCACACCCAGACCAAGCGGAGTCAAAACCGCATATTCGTGACGAATGTACACAGAGAGTTGGAATTTCAGCTGACGAACAGAATACCACTTTTTTTTTCTTTTCTTAAATAGAGTGACGATCATGTCTCCATTTCCTCCAGCTTGAATAAATTTACTCTCAGTCACCATAAAAGCTGCTCATCTCACCCAGGATCATGCACAAGCTGAGGCTTCAAAAAAGACCTTCTGGTGGGACAGCCCGCCCCTCGGCTTCCTCGTAGGAGCGGAAGAAGCTTCTGTGAGGAGACAGTGAATTAATATCTGTAAGGCATGGCAAACTGGGCCAGGCACAGAGCAGTCAGTAACCATGGTTGTTGTTGAGCTATGCTGTTTACTACTGAAACACCTATTTTCCTGCCCTCATGCTCTCTCCTGGCCCACATCATTCTCAGGGCCCAGGAACCTTCAGGAAGAAGCCAGAAAACTCCTCTAGCTCTTGTTATGTTCCCAGTTTTCTTTAACCAAATGGTTCCCAGCTCCTCATGCTGCCCCAGGCCATACGAGGGGAGCCCCTGTCCCTCCCCTCCCCCGGCGCCCTGCATGGTATTTGGCAGAAGCTCTTGGTTAGTCTTGAAACGGGCATGCAGCAACTTTGGAGTCTTCCAGGCTGAAATGGGAGATGGGAAAAGAGAGGAAGAATTAACAGTGAGTGGAGCTGGGTTTACATCCACAAGGCTGGAGGGTCTGGACTCAAATCTCTGACCCAGAGCCCTGAAAGCCCCCCAGCTAACTACACCCCACGAGGCTCACAGAGCCTGCCAACGTGGTGCTGGCTGATTGTGGCTTGGTAGGCGTGGTAGGGCCACCCTGCACACACCCAAAGTGGCTGCTCCACTTTGACGGAGGCTCCTAGGGACAGAAAGCTGAGAAGACTGGTCCTCTGGTAGAAAGTCTGCAGATCTCCAGGGAAACGTGAGCTGGAAAAGTTGGGGAATAGAGCCTTTCATGCTAAGTCACTTCAGTCGTGTCCGACTCTTTGCGACTCTATGGCCATAGCCCACCAAGCTCCTCTGTCCATGAAGTTCTCTAGGTAAGAATACTGGAGTGGGTTGCCACTTCATCCTCCAGGGGATCTTCCCTGGGATCAAAGATCAAAGATCGAAGACCCAGGGACCAAACCTCCATCTCTTATGCCTTCTGCATTAGCAGGCAGGTTCTTTACCACTAACACCACCTAGGAAGAGCCTTCCAAGGCCCCTCAAATCACACCCACAAGCCTCAGGCCCACTGCATCATTTGTCAGTCAGTCATGAAATCCATCAGAGCACAGGGTGGGGGGTGGGGCGGTAGGGGGGGACATGGTGAAGCGTCCTGGCCAAGGCTTGAGGCTGTGAGAGACCATCCTTAGAGGCTCCGGGATGGGCCATCAGGTTTTACACCCTGACTCCTGACTCTTCCTCTACTTGGACATCACCACAGGCCATCAGGTTCAGAGGGCAAGGCCCTGAGAAAACCCTGCCTGCAGTGTTGCTTTTGCAGTACAAATATATCCTGACTATTGCATGGGACATATGTGTACTAAA